TTACGCTTAGTGCCCACCCACCATTACCGCCGCCAACCCGCGAACGTAATCAGTTAGTGGCGTTCTGGCATTTGAAATTTGTGACCCCAAATTGTTTGTGCTTGTGTTTGTGTTGTTGTGCCGCTGCTTTTTTCAATGAATTGCCGCCTTTTGTGCCTAAATGTTTTTTTTTACGTAACTAATGCAACACTGTTAAGCTAACAAGCGTATGCTTCTCATTCCTTTGGGTCGAAAGACTAATTCTGAAAGTAAAAAATTAAGTTAAACTGGAAATGAAATAATTAATAATGTGACTTTGCACGCGCGTGTGCAGGCATTTGGTGTTACATTCACACTTATTTTGGATCTTTTCATACATATGTTGGTTTATGGCATACCAGCGGATTAATGTGACAAAACATTTTTTGTTTTAGCAGGGAAAAAAAGGAAACGAATTGATGAAATTAATTAACAAAACACCGCGATGGATTTCCTTTTGATGTTAATATTGCACTTGAGGCATTGTTCAGTGTAATCCCTACCGACTCAACTCTCCTCTAGGACGTTTTTACGTTATCAGTCGCTAAGTGGAAATATCGGCAGAGCCCAGATTTCATAAAGCTAAGTTTCACAAAGTTCTTACCGGTTGCGAGTAATGAGCAATCAGACAGTGGTTAAAATATAGATTATTAAATATAATTTGATGTGAGTGGAGAAACTCAAATATATTATCATCCGATAGTAAAACGCACCAAGTAGTAAAACGCACCAATCAATCGATTTTTCATCTCCTGTTATGATTTTCTTCAAAAGCAGATCATATTCATTGCGATTAAGATGCATATCACAAGCGTTGAAGCGACTGTGGTACCCAAATTGTTGGTATATCTAACTTCTATCCAATCTCACGCTCAGTAACATGATTTTCCTTTAAGGAAATAATAAAGTAAAATATGGCGAAATTGTTATTTTGTGGGCTCCATATTGAAATTGACGCCAAACGAACAAATAAAATCAAAATTACTGGTACTCTGTTCTAAAGCGAGCTGAAAGTGACAGCTTATAACTGTCAAAAGAAAAAATATAATAAAATAGCACAAGCTGTTCAAAAAAAATTATCAACGCCGTCAACCCAATAATTCTTCTCCGAATAGCTGATAGATTTTTGGGAAGAACTCTTAATTAATGTCTGAGGAGCTGACCTTCCATACCGTGGGACGAGTTACGACTCAAATCCATGATCTTCTGCTGTGTAATTTGCACTGCAAACCAATCGGATATCACGATGACTTTCATTAGTGGATTTCGGATTTACCTCGGTGGATGTAGAGCCCACTATTTGTACACCATTATCCATAGAACACTTAGAGTTTGTGTGGTTACAGTGCGACGTTGTAGTGTGTCTTGTAGCTGCCCAGCTCTGCAAAGATTGCCTGCTTCTCAAAATGGACTTTGAGAAATTAAAACGGAATAAGATTTGCATGTTAACTCAGCCGACACGACGAAAGAAAAACTTTCAAAACGTTTCTATAAAGAAATTGTTTCGAAAAGATTACAAAAACTTTAAGTCGCTAACGAAATTATTGGGTTGCCCAAAAAGTAATTGCGGATTTTTCAAAAAGTCGGCGTTGACAAATTTTTTCAACGGCTTGTGACTCTGTAATTGCATTCTTTCTTCTGTCAGTAACAGCTGATAACTTTTAGCTTGCTTTAGAAAAAAAGTGCGCGAAATTTTGTTTACATTTGTTTGTCTGGCGTCAATTTTAATATGGAGCCCACAAAGGAGCATTTTCGTCATATTTTACTTTATTATTTCCGTAAAGGAAAAAACGCGGAGCAGGTTGCTAAAAAGTTACGAGATGTGTATGGTGATGAAGCCTTAAAAGGAAGACAGTGTCAAAATTGGTTTCGCAAATTCCGTTCTGGAGATTTTTCACTTAAAGATGAGCCACGTTCAGGTCGGCCAAATGAAGTTGATGATGACCAAATCAAAGCATTAATCGAATTGGATCGTCATGTAACTGAGCGTGAGATAGGAGAGAAGTTAAATATACCAAAATCAACCGTTCATTATCACATAAAAAGTCTTGGACTGGTGAAAAAGCTTGATATTTGGGTACCACATGTATTGAAAGAAATTCATTTAACACACCGAATCAACGCTTGTGATATGCACCTTAAACGCAATGAATTCGATCCGTTTTTAAAACGAATCATAACTGGAGATGAAAAATGGATTGTTTACAACAACGTTAGTCGAAAACGATCATGGTCCAAGCATGGTGAACCAGCTCAAACCACTTCAAAGGCTGATATCCACCAAAAGAAGGTTATGCTGTCTGTTTGGTGGGATTGGAAGGGTGTCGTATATTTTGAGCTGCTTCCAAGGAACCAAACGATTAATTCGGATGTTTACTGTCAACAATTGGACAAATTGAATACAGCCATCAAGGAGAAGCGACCAGAATTGGTCAATCGTAAAGGTGTCATATTCCACCAGGACAACGCTAGACCGCACACATCTTTGGTCACTCGCCAAAAACTGAGTGAGCTTGGCTGGGAACTTTTGATCAGCTCAGCTCAGCTTGTGAGACGCATATAATTCAACCGTCACAAACGAAAATATTTATTATTTAGATCAAAATATGCCCATCATCAAATAAGAGATCGGAGCAATCAATATCCAGAACTCATGTTCTATTCTCGCTTTAAAAACTGAGTTTTGCTAATAGAAGAAAAAAGTTATTATTTATTTAATATTCATTGAGAGCTCATTTTCTACCATGATTAATTAAACACCTGAAATTATAAACATGCTTACATCTCACCTAACTAAAAAGTCAAATCCCCATGTGACAAAATCAACGAAATAATTAATTACAATGCGTAAGAGATATAAAACCAAAATAGTAGCAACAAATTTTTAGTTCACTACAGAGATTTGTCTATCAAACGGAGCAGCAAAACGCTAGTAAAATTTTACGAACTTTGAGACTAACCGAGCACATTTGTACATGAATATGTATGTATTTATTTGGTTAACCAAGTCGTCTACGGATATGGAGTAAACGACAAATTTCAAAGGTTAGCTGGCTGATTGTCGAACCAAAAATATCAAACGTAGACAAATTGCACGCTGTGCAGGATATTAAAGGCGATCCCAAAGGACCTGTGTCGCCAGAAAGCGATGATTATGCGCAATAAATGCATGAAGCGAGCTGTTTATATTTTTCTCTTTTCTTTGCGTATTTCATACACATTTTTTCTAAGTTACCTTGCGGAAATGGCAGCAGAACTGCTACCTGGATGACAGTTTAAGATTTCATATTTGGGGAATTAGGGATATTTATACCGCGTTTTAGTACGAACCTAAAAACATGTTCACTGATTTTTTTTTCTTATTTTATGTTTGTAGAATTGCCATCATTTTCTAAGAGGTAAATACAAATCATAAAATACTTCTACGCTCGCTGAAGGAAAAAAGCTGGCATTTTCAGTATCAACTTCAGAGGTCGGAACAGCTCTATTGTAGGGCTGTTATATCTTTCGAATAACTGAGTAAATTTTTGGACTTATTGCTTCTTGTTCTTATTTCTCTTATTAACAAAATGCCGAGTCAACATAGCGTGTCATTCGTTTTTTTTCTTTTAGTTCTCCAGCACCAGTTGAAATTAGCAAGGGAAGACAGATATAATAGATTCAGCGGATTTCTCCAACGAAATGCACCACCGGTGGGTACTTCATTGAATACTTTCAAAGTTGCAGTGCTTTCTTCAATCGTGACCTAATCAGCATTTAGAGGGAGGTCCAGGAAACGCGCTGTTTCGACGGTGTTGGACCAAAGCATTTCCGCTGTCTTTTAATTCGCTGAACTATAGCTATATATTGTCGCTCATCGTTGCATCTAACATAGTGGGAGTCTGCCGTCGCTAGTACGGAAAGGTCCAAATATCTTCTGCGAAACGTTTCTCTCGAAAGCTCCTTGTGCCGACAGATCAGATGTTGCCATCGTCTAAATATCTGCTCCGTACAGTTGGGTGTTACCTTGTAGAGATTCATATTTCTTCGTCGAGAGGAATTTAGCTTTGCAATCAGCAAAAGTGATTCCAAGTTGAGATTTTGATGCTGACATTATCAATGGTATGAATACTGGCTGCATGTTAAAAGAAATTAATCACAACTTCAAAGTCATACTATCAGTAGCGACGGATATTTTGTCTTTTATCGTTCACTACCAAACACATTCGAATAGCCTCGTCTGAAGCCTCATTTAGCCGCGGTTTGAATGGCTTGGATAGTTCCTTCCTAATTCCGAAGGAGCTGTTAGTGTTGGTTAAAGTGGTTGCCGGCCATCAGCGCACCTAGACCCCGAGCGGGCAGCTGGTTTGCTTGACGTCAGGTCTCATAGCAGTACGAGTGGGAAACCAAATTTAGGTAGCTCCTCTTCGTGAAGTTAAAAGCAGCTTTAAAATCGATTAAAAAGTGGCATTTTTCAATAAGTTTCCCGCTAAAATTCCGTCGAAATTCGACGTTGTTGAAGTTGTTGACGAGTTGGTGCTAAAATTCTCAAGATCGATTTTAAAATCGTGGCGAATGCAGCACTCATAGGTACATTCCAGGTGCTCACAAAATGTTTCTTTGGTGTTGTTGTTGTTGTTCATTATCGGCTTTGATGTGTATTGCGACGAGAAGTTCTTACATCCGAATAACTAACAAGACTCGACGACATAGTCTGTCTTCCATCGAAATCTTTTGGCAATCTTACCAGCTTACTCAGAAAATGTTTCGGACAAACAGAAAATAAGTAGGGAACCATCCTTAAGTCAATGAGTAAGGGTAAAAATTTTAGTACACACCTCTGAGCTCGTATGAACTAGTGTTTTGACTCCGTCTGCGCGTAAACTTAGCTTTTATTAATTAGACATATATGTACGTATATGTGTACTTTAGGTACAGTCAGCTCTAATAAACTCTGTATTTCTAAATAATCAAATTGCGATTAATCTCTTCTCTCTTCGCAGGCCCCATGTCGATGAAGGAGGTCGATATGCAAATGTACAACATCCAAAGCAAGAACAGCAGCTACTTTGTGGAATGGATACCAAACAATGTTAAGGTGGCTGTTTGCGATATACCACCACGTGGCCTCAAAATGTCCGCCACATTCATTGGCAATACAACAGCCATACAGGAAATCTTCAAGCGCATATCCGAGCAATTTACAGCTATGTTCAGACGCAAGGCGTTCTTGCATTGGTACACCGGTGAAGGCATGGATGAAATGGAATTCACCGAAGCTGAATCGAATATGAACGATTTGATTTCGGAATATCAACAATATCAGGTAAGGAACTTCTTCATTTGTTAGCGATATGTTCGTTGGTAATTATGTAGATACTGCTGTGTATGTGTGTGTATATATTTATGGGGGGAATATGTTTGCGGAAATGGAAATTGAAATGGAAATGGAAATGGATAGGCATGATATTTCGCATATACATGGTTATGTTCGTATAAACGAATGTTTATGAACAGGAGTGCAACTTTAACGAGGACGAAAATCGATTGGTTTTAATTAAAAATTGCTGCTGATTGTTGATAGCTGCACCATGCATGGTCAATGTGCGCTACCAATATCCACTACTTAGGTTTCTATTAGCACTGCTCGGCTGTTTGTAACGATTCTTTCCCCCTTTCTTTCGTTGCAGGAGGCTAGTGTGGAGGATGATGTCGAGTTCGATGACGAGCACTTTGAGCAGGAGGCGTATGTAGAAAATCCCGTACAAAATGGCAGCATCTAGGGTCAGAGAGGATGAATGTCACCGAAAATGAGTTGGCTGACATTTCGTCCAAAGTAAAATATTTTCATGTTTTCAAAGCAATAATTACTTCTGCTGTTATCCTACTTACAGTATAATTTGCATGTAATAATTTGTTAAGCGCATAACATTTAGAATAAAAAAAAAACAAAAAGAAAATTAAATAAAGTTGCAAAATTTTCTACAATCAAATGCTTCAATGAGTGGGTGTTTGTGTGTTACTGCGGATGATTTCCATCCACAGTAACCGCAAAACAAGTATTAAAGACTGAAGGAGACTTTACTTTGTTACTAAATAGATAAGCCTTGTTCGATCGATGGATGAAGGTTGATTGAAATTCGAAAATGAGTTCGGTAGTCTTTCTCCGTGTAACCGGCAATATCAACTGAAAATTATTTACATATTTAAAAAGAAAACATTCTATCTCTTAATCTCATCTTGAGATCACCCGAAATCTCATCGTACAGAAACCGAAGAAAATAGACTGTAGTAAATTTAGAGAAGAACTGTCAGCATCTCTCGTGAAAACGGTTATCGATGGCAGCTAATGAAGCAGTCAACTCTAACACAAAGTCTGTATATCTCGGTGAGCTAGACTCGTCGTCAATAATCATTCCTAAAATAAAAATGAAACCTAAATGGTAGAATAAAGTAATATCTGAGCTTTAGAAAAGTAGAACTCAAATCTTTCTGTTTTGACATCAAGGGGAACACAGAAGGAAATAGACTGTAGAGGGTCTTCTCTCTCTCTCCGGAACTATATCCAGAAACCAAATGGGAAATGGACAATATCTTGCGAGGAAATGTTAGATATTCCAAAGAGCAACCATTTTCAAGGGTGTAAGATTATTACCTTCCACCCTGTATTTCCAACCATTCATATCTCCAGGACTAGATAAAATCATTCCCACAATAATACAAAGCAGCAACAAACATCTTATCTCCCCTATTATATAGTATTTACTCAGTCTGCCTCTCCATGGGCAACATCTCTCATGTATAGATCAAGCCGAGAGTAAACTTCATTCTAAAGGGAGGCAGGAAAGTCATATAAATCTGAAGTATTCTCAACCAATAAGCCTCACATCTTTCCTATTAAAAATCTTTGGAGAGAATGCTTAATAACTTACAGGGAAACCAGCACGCTCACTCTGAGGCGAATCTGTAGACATCGTTCTTCGTGACATTGTCACGAGGATTGAATGAGGTTTGAGCGTATTTCTCGACATTGAAGGGCCCTTTAACAATGTCCTACCAGGGATAGTTACGTCTGCACTCCGAGAAATAGATTTCTGGGGGCGAATGTAATAAACTTCGTGAAATTTCTCTTAATAAAGAAAGAAATTTTTGCTAAACTATGAGGCGCAGTAGTTACCAGTTATGTAAATAGGGGCACCTTTCTATGGTGTCTCACAGTCAACGCGCTGCTCCGCAAGTTAATAACAATGGGTTACGACGCAGTGACATACGCTGACGATATTGCCTCACAGCTACCAGAAAACACTTTCAGGTCCTAAGCGATCTACTTCAAAATTCTCATCACACAGCAAGTAGCTGGTGCAGTGAGTGCGGTTTGGATGTAAATCCTTCAAATACCGGGCTGGTACTCTTCACTAGAGAGTACAAACCATCTGCTTTCAAAACATTTCTTTCTATTGAGGTTATAAAACTTTCTCAACAAAAATCCCATATTGGAATATGTTGGGATCCCATTAAGTCTCGCCAAAGCAATCTCATCAAGGGCGGCAATGAAATGCTGAGAGATCTTAAACAAACTGTTCACTGTGGAACTTCAGTGCTTTGGGTCCCAAGACATATGGACATCACAGGGAACTGCGTAGCCGACGAACTGGCAAGAAGGGGAACGGTTCTAATTAAGGTCAACTCTGCACATGACGTGGACAAATCGGGCACTCTCTTATGTATACTCATGGTAGAATGATTGGCTACTTCTCAAACGACTTATGCAGCAGCTGCAGGCACATAAATGGGAAGGAATCGGGGAAACACTACCTCTGTCGTTGCCCAACTCTCAGTGCGGTCCGTTATCGTTTTCTCGGAACACTCACGTTTCCTCTTTTTTTTATTTTTGGTGCTCTTATTTGAACGCTTTGTCCAAAATTTTTCAAATAATTGGTTACTATTCGGAGTACTTTCTCATTACATAATACATACCAGACTTCAAAGCCTTTAGTGTGTGAAAATATTTAGTCAATAAAGAAGTATATTCGTCCATGGAAAAGTTTATAAATTTTATTATTTTTAACAAGCTTGCCGCATAACTTATTCTTTTAAATGCTTTTTATATTAATAGAAAAGGGAAGACCCATCAAAATTTATATCGCTCGTACGTCTGCCTTTTTTTATTTGTATTTAGTTGTATGGCCTCCTAGTTTTACCGATATTTCATGCAAACTTGGTTGGCGGATATGTTTTTATACGGCATAGGCGAAACTGGACCACATATACATATATAACAGATTTTTAGATTTTAGGTGATTAATCGGTCAAAAAAGCATTTAAGGGCGTAACATTTGGCTTTCTATATACTACATACGTAACTTCAAACAAATATTTTCGCTGAATATCATGGTAATCGGAGTCCTTCCTTCAACTTTTTTTCAACTATGAAATTTTAGGTTAGAATCGTAAAAAAAGCATGCAGTATATAAAATTTGATATGTCCATGAAGGGTATAAAGACTTGAATGCACAAATTTTTAACTTACGAGATCTAAAACTTAAGAAAGAGTTATTATTTTATTGTATATATTTTAACAAAAGCCTAACATCAATATAAAATATACAGACATATAAGTTAGATCTTCAATATATAATTACATGATTGGGTCTGACATAATAATAAACAATTAAAATATCGGAAATGTTATTGTAAACAATATATCATGAATCTTTTCTGGGGTGTTAACATTTGAATTCAATGCTTGGCTGATTGAACCTGAATTCTTTAAAACTTTTATTGCAATATGATGACCTCATCGAGGCCCACTAATTGATTTTGATCTTTTTTTTCTTTTAAATGCCATGTAAAAAAGATTCAATTTAGCAAATTTTGGTCTAAAGAGGTAAGTTCAAATGGAAATAATGCACGACTCTGCTGACAAGTTTTGTACCCTATAGATCTACGGTATTTTGTTGTTCTAATATAGGTAAAAGGAAATTATGATCCATAGAAAAATTGGTCATTTTTAAACAACACAGACATATTAAACATCTTTGAAGACCAAAAAATTCAGCTCGAGATTGCTCAGCTTTGAATGATCATATGAAGGTAAAAGTTTTCTGATTACTGCCTCGAGAGACCCATGTAATACTGACACGACTAAGATCTGAATAATTGTGATTTACTCAATTCCTACTTATCCAGGCTTCACCTCGATATACTCAACGTATGTCCCGCATGTACGACACTAATCATCTCTTTGTTTGCCCGCTAAATCCCACTCATCTAACATCGATGTCCGATATAATGAAAAAAGACATCTCCGTCGAACGCAAGTATTCTCAATCGGTGAAATATATATTTAGTTATATTTATTTTCTCCCTGCAAACATTTGTTTAGCGCATTCTGTCGTCGTCTAGACGACAACAAATTCGATAAACTTAATGAAAGCTCTTTGAGAATGCAATCAGCTTTTAAAAGCTTTATAGTTAACTTAAGTTTAGCAGTGCTTTTTATAGCATAATTGGCGCTTTTATTGAAAATTGCTAAATCTACAGTGGATAATTCAAAAGCACATCTTGTCTCGCCAACTCCAACAACATAGGGTCATCGAAGAACTTATTAATGGAGACATCTTCCGACAAGCCTTTGCGACGTCTTGTTTTAATCATAAATTCACGTGCCAGATGTGAAGCTTGTTGAGGTTCCAGTGGTCTTATTACTATAGACTTATCCAACGGATCGCCGGGCACAATTTGCCAATGATGAAATACGGATAAGCAAAAGGCTTGTCCTTGTGTATGCGTACGTAAATCTGTCTCGAAGCCAAACGAATCAATGGCAGGTATAAACGCTTTAATGGTGTATAAGGGTGAACCAGAAACTGGAGCATCTTGTGTTACATGCCCTCTAAAATTAGTAAATATGGAAATGTATATTAATTTTAACAAGCAATCATAAACCGCAGCTCACTGCTCACCTTCGTCTCGCTAACACTGTGTACACGGCTGAAACACAATCGGCTGGCGCTTGTACTTCTACAAATAAATAAGGCTCCATCAAGCGTGGTGTAGCCATAAGGAATGCTGAGTAAGCAACACGACGCGCGGTGGGTATTACTTGACCACCACCACGATGTAAGGCTTCGCCAGCGATTACAGCGTCCAATATTTTAAATTTTACATTACGAATTGGTTCCTCACACAGTGGTCCCTCTCGTGTACCCCATTGGAAACCTTGCACTATTGAGTCTTTCACTGAAGTGAGTAAATTTTTGTCTACTTCTGATGGTAGGGTATCGTCTACGAGAATATTTGGTCCGGTTGTATCTGGACCGAAAGCCCAAATTGAACGAGCTGCCAGTAAATCCCAATCGTAGTTGACTTGGAAGAACTCTCCAAGCCGCTTTTTGTTCCAATTAATTGATACCACTTCATTTTCAATGTCCTCAGCAAGACCTTTCTCTAACGGCTCTGAAATCATTGTTATTTTGTTTTTCTTATTTGGTGTTTCAGCAAAACATTTCAATGAACTAGTCTCCACAACAGTTTCGCAAAAGGCGACAACAGGATCAGCAACTTTGATGTCGATTTCAGAATACATTTTACGTAAATCGTGCATAACACAATCTAAATAAAGTTCTCCAGTTCCTAAAATTACATGTTCACCAGATTCTTCTACTCTTGTTGATAGTAGAGGATAGGATTTGTTAGCTTTACGTAAACCATCCAACATCTTTGGCAACTCCGAGGGGTTTACAGGTTCTACTGCAATTTTTATAATACTCTGCGTATTGAATTTTAGTGGCCGGAAAATATAGAGATCTTCTGGTGCATTTATGTCAACAATTGATGAAGTCTTCACAATACACTGATCGATACCCTCAATAAGTACCCAATTACCGGCCGGCACTCGATTCAGTTCCACTTTGTAGCGGGCTTCATATACCCACAAGCGACCCACTTGCAGAACCCGGGAATCTTCTTCATCTTGCAGAGTGTAATTTTCACCCAAAACTCGTACTTCTTGACCTGCGTGCAAAGTTCCCGAGAGTACACGCGCCATAACCTGGAAAAATGTACAGTCATCGGTGGGGTACATTTTAGCGCTATGGACCATTAAGGTGCCATTCTGATTGCAGTCCACCATATCTCTATAAATTTCACCTTCCTTTGGTCCCGTGTAAATGTGATCTACTTTTCGCTTAGCATTTTCCAAGGGTGAGCTTATGTGCTCCACACACATTTCAACAAATCCATTAAAATCTCCCATAAAGCGATTGCATACAAGACGTAACAGAGGACGGATATTAGACTTCATTTCCTCTTTGGTTATACGTACATTTAGCTCAGCCAGAGTATCTGAAAGAGTAGTATCAACATCACCAACAACTTGAGCAATCACTTTATACATGGGTTCCAAAATAAATTCGACAAAGCTACGCTGTGCTGAGTTATGAGGTGGCTTTTTCGTAAATTTTCGCCTGCGGGTAAAAAGTTCATGTAAACTTAGGAAAATGAATGTGACAATATAAAAGAAACTTACGATTTACTATGGAAGTACATATCGCCCCACAACCGTTTGGCGAATTCTGCATAGTTAACGCCATCATAAGTGTCTGCATACAGTTTAGCGAACGATTTTAAAGTGAAACAGAATCCGTATAATGAACTAGCAAAGCAAACGTTGCCTAAAGCAGGTGAAACTAATAAGTTCTCGTTACCATTACCATAGGTGCTAAAACAGAATACACTCTTGAGTATTACAAATTATTTTCAGGGAATACATTTAATAGGAAATACCTCAGCAAAGCATTTATCTCCTCAACAATATGTTTTAATTTGAAATACGCATCTTGTGGCGGTAATTTCAACTCCAAAACTAAACGATCAATCTAAAAAAGTAGTACTTTTAAAGAGAGAGGTAGAAATAAATATCGCTTTTGTAATTGTACCTTATTAATGCAAACCGTAATTGCCATTTTCTCCTGTACCGCATGCTTTAATAAACGTTCAGTATTTAACATTACACCCTCCGCAGCGTCCACAAAAAGAACGATACCATCACACATACGCATAGCAGCTGTCACTTCATCAGAAAAGTTTACATGCCCTGGTGTATCAAAAACGTTCATTAAAAAACTCTTTTGTTTAACATCTTGTAAGACTAGCGTCACAGGTGTAGCCTTAATACTACAACCACGCTCCTGTTCAGTGAATAGTGTATCAGTATAGCGGAGTGTGCGCTCTTCCGCTTGCTCAAATTGTGGATGAGTCTGACGTATTAAGCAGTCTACAAAAGTGGTTTTCCCGTGATGGAGATGTCCCACTAATGCAACGTTTCGTATGAGTGGTGGTGTGTCCATCAGGTCAGCCATGAATTCCATGTCATACGTGGTTTCTGGGAGTTCCTGCTCTTTTATTTGAAATTTAAGTTTCTTAATGGGCTCAATGAGCGGTTTGTCTAAGGGTTGGGCATCCTCTTCTTGCACAATGGTCTCAACATCGGGTCCATACACTTCGACTGCAGTTGGATAATAACGTTTATCTTCATGTAAAACAACGGCTGTAACCTCTTTATCTTCATCGTCTTGATGTTCTTCCTCTTCGTCCATCGCATCTTCCTAATTTGCAATTACAATTTACTTTAAATAAATTAATGTACTCGTTCTACATACATCTTGATCATCCTGAGGTTCTTGTTGACCGTATATACTTTGGTCATCATCTTCGTCACTATCCAGTTCAGGACCAATGTAGTTGCCAAATTCGTCATATAAATCAGAATCCATCTTTATTCCAAGTAAACCCAATGATATTTGATATATCTATAAAAATATATGAATAAGTAAGCATTTGTACAAAAACGTTTAACTATCGTTAATATTTAGGAATGTTTTTCCTGAAATTTGCTAGACTTTTCTTAAAAGTTTAATATACATTGTTTATATTTAATGCAAAATAGCTCGTTTTTAATTTTAAAGAAATTTTATAACTTAACAATTATTTATTTGAATTACTTTTTATTAAAAATGTAAAAGCGATTCCGCGTTGCACAAACTTAAATAGAGGAACACCGGCTGTTTACAGCGTTGCATTTTGAACTGTTTCCAGCATTTCATATATATTTTTGAAAAGGTAGCAACCCTTTCAGTAATGGCCCTGGCGGGATAAAATTGGCCAATAAATGGCTGAATAAATAATATACATAAAAGAAAATATTTAGGTTTATTAATTCCCGTGCAAATTACTGACTTAAGATAATTTTAAAGGTTCATGGCAAATTGTCATGGTCGTAAATTTCGCAGGAAAATTAAACATAAGAGTTAAAAAAGTTAATCCACCGAAGTATTTAGCCAGCTGTATGTGAATTTGACAGATTGGATGTTAAGTTTTTATTTCTTTTTCGTAAAATCTCAAATAAAATTGCAAAGGTGATTAACTTTTTATGAACATTAGCTATTTTCCTTCATGATACTTCTAATTCGATCCCCGATTCACTTTACGAGTAATATGCTTCATTGCAAATGTTTAAATTAATTTACTAAGAAAATTAATCTATTACAATATTCAACTAAATCACAAATGAGGATGTAGTGGCCAAAATTTCAATTTACTTATTACTTAAAATAACGTTTTAAAAATAATTTATTTACGTCAATGCTGTACACTTTCGGAGGATTTGAAAGCATTTGTACCGGTATAATTTTCTATAAGCAAAGACTTGCAGCGCCTCAACTGCACGCTATATCCTTCATCACGTTCGTCAACGTCGAGAATAATAACCCGGGAAACAACCAAATGTGTGGGGTTTGTTTGGCTAAAACCACGCACTACATCAATTTCGTCCCCGACATTGAGCTAAGAAAATAATATGACATTTAATAACATCACAGTTTTAATTTTTTGTAACCATACCTGTACACTTTTCTTATTCAGCTTTTTTCCATTTACACGTACTTTGCTTTCGTAGAAAATTGTTTCTACTTTACTAAAAATATAAAAATTATTAGCAGTGTGCATTGATTGTAAATTGGCATTAATACTTTCTAGCCATTCCCAAACCAGCCTTCAATAATAAATCAGCTCTTAAAGAATTTACACTGGTCTTCAAAACTTTGGAATCACGTTCGTCCTTAAATTCAATACCATTCCCATCATCACTGTCCTCATCGTCATCCTGTCGTCTTGTGCTTTTATTATATTTCTGTAGCACCTGGTTTGTATGCATTAGTCGGTATGCTGGTAATAAGTGGAAACATGGTGTATTTGCTAAGTCAGTGCTATTTTGATGAACAGGTAAAACTTGTTGAGCCACTGATACGTGTACAACTTTTATAATTCTGTTAAAAGTTTGTACATGTCGCAATTTTAGCATTTTATAATTAGTTATATATCGCTATGGAAAATTAGAAAATACTAGGGTGATTTGTTATGAAAACTAAACATTAGTCTTAACCTCAAAAATATTTTACAATAAGCAGCTGTTCTCTAGAGTTGCCAGAAGGGTTGAAAATGAAGAATTATTTTAATTTTTCTTAAGTTTATTATTTTTTTGTCGTTTCTTTTTTGGTTTCTTATTAGGATTTGGTTGTATTTTGTGAACAGTAAGTGGCTGATAAATTTCCGGCAAAAAATCGTCAGAATCGCTGGAGGGCGTTGAGGAATATTTGACGTCCACTTGTGGTATGCTTTTCGCACTTTTCACATTCTCATCTTGAAAAGTAACACGTTCTTTATTAACACCCTCCACAACTTTACATAAAGCTGAATTCAAATGCTGCTCATCTTCCACAGAATCTGCCTTTTCGATCTCCATAACATCACTAAAGGATATGAATTCTCCCCAATTGTTGTCAACAACTTCACTATCGGACTTTTGTAATTTAGTTGTTTTCTCCTCTGGATCGCCGAAAATGAAATTTTTACGTTTTTTCTTCATTAATTTGGGTACAAATTTGACCTTCATTGGCTTTACTGGCTTCGCTTGTGACTCAGCCCATTTTATGAGATTAGTATCCATATTTGCATCGCGCATTGCTGTCACTGTGGGTAATACCAAAGCAAGTGCTCCTACACCAAATACAGTTTTCGTAAAATCTTCTAATTGAGATTGAACAAACACCGGTACAGCCTGATTTTTAGCCTCCACGTTTCTCGCAATTAATCTTACCAAGAAACGAGGTTGAATACTTCGCGAGAGTAGAACACATGAACATTTTAAGTTATTGATAGCGCGTAAGCTGCTTTCTAATCCTAAATGTATATGAGCTGTCGTCGCAAATTGCATGGGTTTTGTGCCGCTTTTGGAAATGGCGTTTAATAATAATTTACCAAAATGCTCCAATTCATCTTCTTTAAGTGACGGGCTAAAAGTATATGTAATTAAAAATAAGTTCAGTAAAAAATAGTTTACCACATTTGCTTACCATTTCTCCTTGTTTGGGTTTGCTAAAATCGTTTTTAATTTAGGCAAAGCTTTTCGCTTTCCTTTCGATTCCTTAGTTTTTATGGTATTTGAACTCATTTTTTATTAAATGCAAATTAGTACATCAAAATCAGGTAACCGGACTACATCAACAGAAAAATGAAATTTACAAGAACCGAATGCGCCTTTTAGAAACAGCTGTTTGCTATCAGTGTATGCAAGGTCGGTATGCAGAGTTGCAAACAAAGTTTTCTATCGATCGCGATAACATGTTGGTATCGTTCAATCAAAGAACGTATTAATATACGTTCTTTGGTTCAATTTAATAATAATGATTAATTTGCTTTTATTTTTCGATATACATTGATTTTATTAGTTTTGCATAAATCCGTAAATAAATAGCTAGAAACATACTGTTTTTTTCAAATATTTAATTGATTTTTCTTTTAATAGTCATCCAAAGTAGGCATTACGTCAGTATCGTAAGTATACTTGATTGGCTGCGGTAACATATTTGCAAAATTGATATTTTTACCATTTCGTCCAAAATTATTTCTAGTAATATTCGCTGTGATATTCTGTTGTGGAAGAACATACTCTATAGGTGCTGTATTATATTCAGGACTATCAGTAACTATATCAGCAGAAGTGTGCGTAGATAACGCATCTGTTGTGGAGAGGTCCTGGGTAATGCCGGTACTTTCGTTCCCAATATCGATGGTCGAAGTTCTCAATTCATCCACTGCTGTTGTTGTCTCAAAGTTAAAATTAAATTCACCAGTAAATATTGATTCCTGCATTGATGTAGTTGAGGGAGTAAAGGCAGAGTCCTCTACTAGAGTTTCTCTTGTTTCAGTGGTTGCAGATATGGGCGCAGTCGTTGTGGTTGAAATGATTATTGAAGCACTTTCAGTAGGTATAGTTAGTATCTCTTCCATGGTGGTTGAATAGAAATCAGATGTGGAATATAAATGAGTGGATAAGGTCACAGACTCAGTCGAATCTTGCTTTGTTGAACCGCTGTGGTCATCAACTTCATAATATTCCGTTGTTGAATATTCCGTTGTTGAGCATTCCGTTGTTGAATATTTGCTATCAACTGTACTTGGTTCAGATACTTCATTTACGTCGAACTCATTTTCAGTTGGTAATATGCTCTCAGTTGTGGCATCCTCCTTCTCTATGTTTGGCTCCGTGGTGAAAATAGTAGTTGGAGTTGTTCCCTCTGCCACTGTGGATCTAAATTCAATATTATTAAGGTCTTCAGTATTGATTTCTGTGAGGATTTTATTAGTAGTAGAGAAGATTGGGGAGGTGAAGTCCGTTGTAACTCCATCCGGCGTCGTGGAATCGGTAGTAGATAACATTGTCGTGGTATCTAAATCATTAAAACCGTCTGTTGTGCTGCTAACTTCCGCCAAATCCGGTCCAACTGTCGTCATTTCCGTAGTTTGGGTCATTTCAGTAGGCACTTTATCCTGCGTACTAGTGTACTCTTCTATTATAGGGGTTGGAACAGGTTTTGCGGTTGTAATATTCTTCCTCCTCGAAGGTACGTACGGTGCATATTTTTGAAGAACCGGCGATTGGTGGTTTCTTATCTGCTGCTTTGCTAAGAGTATAAATATTTCACTTGTCATTGGTCCTAAGTCTATTACGTCATTTAATTTAAAATCTATTGTTTTATCACTTTTCGTGGCGTGAAATTTCACATATTTCGGTATATCTATGGCGCAATGTACAACAACAAAGGTAGCTACGCAAAATGCAAGGATCGCCGCGAACTTCATTTTATGGTGACAGGAGAAATAATACTGAGCTAAAAGTAAATTCATCTAAACCTAGACAGGGATAATTAAGCTGAGACATTCTCAGGCCACCGTCTTGCAACTCATTTTGCGATGGATTATTCATTGGTCATTATTCCTTATCTGCAGTTTTACCTGCTTGAGCGTTTGCATGCAGACGCTCCCATACATAGATGTGTATGTACATATTGTACATACATATATACTTGTATATGGATTCTGTCTAAATACTTAAAAATCATGAATAGGAGAGTTACTTAAATATTTCGTTGCAAATGTACACTAAATACATATATACATAATGGGGTTTCCATTAAGAGGAGTTATTGTGAATAGCCTACTATTCCGGTAGATGTTACTTTTAAAGCTGTAGTTTTTCCCTCTCGATGGCTACATCAATAAGCAAAACTGTCGCATCTGAGGCTCGGAAGATCCTAGATTTTTCCATTCTTAACGTTTAATTGTTTGGTTCGGCGGCGTCATTGGATCTTACTATTTCGAGAATGTATGGATTGCGCCATCGAGAGATAACTAATGATTTTTTTATCGCTGAAATTAGATAGAATTGATCTGGACAACTTGTGCTTTTAACAAGGTGGCGCTGTGTAGCTCGGAAACAACGAAACTGTTGATCTTTAAAGGGAAAAGTTTATTTGATTATCAAAATAGCACCTCTTATTGGAAAACCCTGTAAATATGTTTTAAAAATAAACACCAACAAACAAATTCATTATGGTTTCAGATTTTAGTCAAGGGATATTTACACAAGTATACATACCCTGCAGGGAAAAATACTAGTCGTTAACCAACTAGTTCATCTTCCATCTTTTTTCCTACGCACTGTAAATTGTTAGTCTATGCATCAGTTTCATACTAAAAAAAAAATACCAGGTCATGTATACCAGTTAAAATACTAGTTCGTTCATACCAGTTATGAACTAGTTCGCCCCATACCAGTCTGCAGTCGTGCTAGTCAAAAATCATTTCTTTTGCTTCTGCATTACAAACGGTTGAACCAATTTTATTTAATTTTTATGCGTGAGAATGGTTTTGAAAAACTACTTTCACGGGAAAACATACTTATGATTTACTTTACTTAAAATTTATTGTATATCTTTTCTTTCCAGGAAGTGGATGAGATAACGAACTTCGTACATATGCATTTTAGGCTTAATGAAGTCTGTTCGTTATTTTTTACAAATGAAAAAATATAAAAACCATATAATGTGTGGGTGTTGTTATTATTATAGCGGCAAATCTAATAAAGTGTGTTCGGAGCTTCTAGTTACTTATGAGTTCTGATTGTTTTTTTTTTTGCAAGACGACAAACTGGCATAAACTTGTCTGCAAAATACTTGTTCATATAGTAGAATTTCTGCAGACTTGTCTAGGTTTTACAGAAAAATTCTAGTCTATGCCAAGTAGTATATTTGTGTCCTTTAAATACTGGTACATTTGTGGTTTACAACAAACTAGTATGATTTTGCTTTCAAGAGATTAGTTCTAGACGAGAATTTTTGCATATTAGTCTACATTTACCCTGCAGGGTATGTATATATATGTATGTATGGACATATCTCATGTGTGTGTGTGCAATAATATACTAATTTAAGTATATGAAAAATATTGTGACAGAATGAATGTTTATATATTGATGTTTTGACCAAAACTTACGAAACTAAAAATTATGTCCGACTGTCATTTTTTTGAATATACTTCATAATATAATGCACTGTAAGTACTCCGTGGAGTAGTTTTTGGATTAGTTTCAAAACTAGTTTCATGTATGTAATCTATGGACTACTCGGGTGTCATGCAGAGAGGAATTACATGGTTTAGCCCTAGACATAATATATTTTGTAAGGATTGTGTGTTAACTCAATTCAACTCGTGGTTAATTTTGGATGATTAATCGCTCATAATCATATACGACGTCTTGGACTGGTAAAAAAAATTCATATTTGGATACCACAAGAATTGGAAGAAATTCATTTAACACTACGCTTCAACGTTATATTGATCTTAAACCCAAATCGAAAACAATCGTGATCCAAGCATGATGAAGCGCCGCAAACCACTTCAAAATCTGATATTCACCACAAGAAGATTATGCTGTCAGCTTGGTGGGGTGTGGTGAACTTCGAGCTGCTTCCAAGAACCAAACAATTAATTCGATTGTCTACCGTGAACAACTGGAGAAATTAAATACATCCATCAACGAGAAGCGGCAATAATTGATATAAATAAAGGTGACATATTTCAACAGGACTATGCTAGACCGCACACATCTTTCATCCCCCATATAGCCCTGACCTTGCACCGTCGGACTGCTTCTATATTCCTATAGACTCTTACCATGTGTTGGGAATTAATCTGAAATATTAAACCGATTTCAGAAGTTCGAGGTTTGTCAATAAAAAAATGTTCGATGTTTCTGGAATGCTTCGACGGGGACGTCAGCGAGTACCCTTGACACGGCTGCCTGGATCTCCTCAATCGACTTATAATGGGCTCCTTAGACCATCGATTTTGTTTTAGGGAACAAAAAAGTCGCAGGGTGACATATCGGGCGAATAAGACGACTGTTGGAATACGCCGCACCCTGTTGATAGTAGACTAGAAGAAATTCTTTGTGGATGTTTCCATGCACCTCGACTGGTCTCCTGAGGTTTACGCCAACGAGCCTCAAAATATTTATGAACTCAAAGCAAATCGACGCTATAACAACCGAGATGCTCAGAAAGGTAATGGCGAACGTAGAAAAAATTAGTCAATTTGTAATTGCTAATAAAGGTAGCCACTTGATTGGTATTGTGTTCAAAAACTAGTCCAAAAAGATTGCAAGAAACCAAACTGAATATAAATACATCACTTATAGAAGTCGTTTGTTTTTGCTCAAAGTTATTCAATGTTTACATGCCAACATAAAAGATGGAGCACCCTGGAGACAAAATTTTCAAAACAATATAGATTACATCATCGCGTTTCTCAAATTTTCGTTTAAGGAGTTAATCGCTGTGTGCACTTAGCGGCTCATATATCAATGGAGAGGAGAAGGATGTCGAGAGAAGGGAACGAGAATATCAAGATCTCGGAGATATAATCAGTCGCATTACTTAATTGTCACACCTCGTAAAACACTTTGACGCATGTAGAAATAAGTAAATGTACTCATTTAATTACACAATCGAGACAATTGCAAGTAAGCATACAACGCGCGCATCATTCTCAAGGAATATACATACAATCAAAGACAAAAGTTTAAATACACCTATAAAATTACACTTTTTATTACAATTAAGCATTTTAGAGTAAATGTAAGAATGCAGTTTATTCAAAGTAGATAATTAATCAACAATACAATCCAAAAAAATATTCAAAGTCGCGTAGATAACGATAATTTCATTAAAACATATAATCACGCGGGACAAAAGTTTAAATACAATACATATAATTTCATATTTTGACTAAATTAAACTAAAAATCAAGCAGTTTAAAACAATTTCAACATTTTGTTGGCCCACCTCATGCTTCCATAACTGCCTTTAAACGACTTGGGGTAGATATAACCAAATTTTCTATATCAGGCTATGCCTTTTTCAGATATTCTTGCCAGGTTTATTTGCTGGTTGAAGCCGCCATAGTAATTTTTCGTGCCAATAGCTCCCAAATGTGCTCATTGGGGTTCAAGTCTGATGATTGCAGCGGACTATTAAGCTGACGAGGAGGTTAATACTATAGTCATTCCTTTCCCAAACCCGCTGTATGGTTAGGTTCGTTGTCTTGTTGAAATATCTATGAACTTCCGGTACCCAAAGAATCTACGGAAGACTGCCTAAGTTGATCCAAAATACTTTTGTAAAAATATATGTTCATTAGTCCATCGATAAACGTTAAATGTCCTACGCCAGTTGCTCCAATTGCTCCTGTAACATTTACGCTACCCTCATCGTGCTTAATAGTTTGTATTAAGTTGCTTTTTTTTTCTCAGATAATACAGGCTTTTTATGTGGAACTCTGCTTCGTTAGCTATCTTCCCGTAAAGCTCTTGCTATAGTTTTTGGGTGTACATTTTTGCCCAATATTTTAGCGATGCTGTCGGCTATCTTTGGAGCACTTATTTTAGGATTTTTTGTAACTTTCTTGGTGATAAAACTAACATCTCGCGAGAATAGCTTCCTTAGACGCGTAGATCTTGGCCTATTTCCAACAGATATGTAGGTTTTTACTTTCGAACAATACTTTTCACACTCACATAAGGATTATCAATATTTTTTTCTATATCTCGATAAGATTTCCCTTCTTAAAAATGTTTAATCATTAAGATTTTAACACTACCCTTTATCTGTTTTTCTTTAACCATTTTTTTTTACTCTGCACTCACTGTTGGAGAAGTAGTCGCATCTAATACCGGGTAAATGTGTATAAGTTGTTAAATCATTGAATATAACGGTACTTTATTTCTCAAGAACGTGCAAAGCACATGCAATGGGTATTTTTCTTTGGTTGTATTTAAGCTTTTGTCCCGCGTGATTTCATGTTTTTAATGAATTTATCGTTATCTACGCGACTTTGAATAATTTTTTTGGATTGTATTGTTGATTAATTATCTACTTTAAAAAAGGGAATTCTTACATTTACTCTGAAATGCTTTATAGGTGCGTTTAAACTTTTGTCTTTGTCTGTATGTATGTACATATGTATTTCAAAAAAACATCTAACCTTAGGTCATTTCACCCATATAAATTTAGAGAGAGTCGTCTCCATTTTAATTTAGCAATTAAGAGTTGAACCCGTCAATTAAGTAATAACAGGGCAATTATTTTTTTATAATTGTTATCAATGCATATTCTACACATGCATACACTTACATACATATGCAGGTGTCCAGGTATCTTCCATATTTCAACTTCAACATTGAAAACCAGATTTATTTTACATTTGTAGCCAAGTCAATTGAGTTCATTTATTTACATTACAGTTCGTTAGCATCAATCATTCGTTGTTTTATCTGGTTTTAATAAAAAAAAAATTACATCGGATTTTACTATGCGTCTTTGATCTGAAACACACCACATATGCATACATATATAGTATATGAGATAAAAATTGCGAAACTGAACTCCTTCCGATGCTACCATACGCGACATTTGTCTGCCGGATTCATTTTACTACCCACCGGGCAATTATAGGCTTCGCTAAACTCTTCAATGTTCGTTACAGCGCCCAACACTCGAAATTTGTCCACAGTGTGCTCATTCGTTAACTCCTCCCAATAGTGCTTCTCCTTATAGGACGCACACCAAAGTTGCGCGAAACCAACGAAATACAATTGCTCCGGCGTTAGATCCAAACCAGGCATCTGTTCATCTTTTGGTGTCAACTTTAGTTCTTTGACGTGTCTGTAATACGCAGACAAGGATTCCCTCAAGCCGCCACTATCGGCAATATTTTCATCTTTTGTCTGATTACCATCGACAAAGCGTTTGATTTCGGATATCTAGAGATGACACAAAATATAAATTTTTAGAACTATATATGTATGTACATATGTATGTAAGCGATTACCTCATATGCGTTATATTGCTTGACAAAGCACTTCTCCCGCTCCGTAAATACCTTGCCCGCCTTGCTGGACCACCAGTAATTCTCTTCGCCAACACTGTTATAGTGTGCGCCCACCGAGTCAAATCCGTGCGTGAATTCATGCCCCACTAAATAGCCGATTGTGCCAAATTTAAGCGCTGCTGGCCAAGCCTTATGGTACGCGGGCGGATGTAAAATGCCAGCCATAACATAAATGGAATTATCGACGTTGTAGTAGAAAGAGTTCACTTGTATACCTTTCAATAGTTCCAAGGGTTTCATTGTGAAGTTATCATAATCTTTATGATACAAGCCGTTAAAACGTCTTTGCTTTGTTCTGAATTTGTATAAATTCAGCAAATTTTCTTCGTAGTTATCTTCCACATAGGAAAATTGCTGCATTTGTTTTATTAAACGATCTGTTACATTTTTATTCGTATAACTGCCAATGTGTGTCTTGATAGCGGCTTCCTTAAGCAATGCCTGCTCTCGTGTCTTCTCATCCAACCAATCTGCTTGTTCCAATAATTCTCGTAAGCTCTTTCGAACCTCATTGACAATCGCGCTAATTTCTCCATGAATTTCTTGATCGAAATATTCCTTTAGATAGACGAAAGAATTGTAGTGTATAAATATTTTACGTTTATTTAAATTAAATTTGATTTAATAAAAGCAGTATGCAGTGCAAAGATGTACCCAATATGTAAGTGGTTCGATTTTGCTCAAGTTTTTAAAGGTTTTGTATGAGCCCTTGCTCACTAAAGTCTTTTTTGTAGCGTCTGTTCACCAGAGGTGCATCTGGGAGCGAGCATAAGTCTCGACTCAAGCCTTTTGAAGCAAATGGTTCGCATATACTTTCATACATAAATATCTCATAAACGCATACCTACTCGCGCAGAAGTTATCTTCGGTTAATCGTGACTAATCATCCCCGAATAAATCGGAGCTGATCGACCTCGCCAGGTCTATGGAACCAGATTCCAGATTGAGAAAATTCATCGAGCTGCATGACTGTAGTCGGGTCGAAAAACACGCAACCAGAATTGTAATGTGTTTTAAACAGACTTCGTGCCGCAAAGTTCATCCGTAGACAGACGGTTCGACGCCAAAAAGCTACAATCACAACAGGCAACCAAATGGTTTTTTACTCATTCACAATTCGATATAAGGGAAATATGGAACGACACTCCAATTGACTCACTAACAGGCAACTTCTATTGTTCTTCGACAAAGTCAAAAGCACATTAAGCTGGTACAATGCTATATAAAGAAACAAAGACTGCACACAAAAATTAAACTCTATATGGCACTCAAAAAATCCGCCAACCCATCTCGTGGTCATCGAACGGGTGACCCACGAAATGAACTGTTTCGATGGGTCCGGACCAGAGCGAAAGGGGTGGTTGGTGTCGTGCGGGGACTCATTGCATGCAGGATACACATCTTTAATCTACTGCTATTTGCAGACCTAAGTTGTGCTCATTCAACTCTCACGTTAGCCGAGTTTATGGATGGAATCCTTCACAATGTGTGAAATCTTGGAAGGTATTTCACATCTCATCGTGAATTTTATACACAGGTGCCTCTTGGAACTTAACTTCTCTCGAAGAACAATAATCAAACTCTACATGTCATTTATAATTTCCGCGGCGATTTTTATTGTTGTAGAAACGGCTTTCCAACCCAACTAAGGAGCGAGTTAGATCAATCTAGGCCATCTGGGTCATCTGCCGGGGGGTCCGGCGATTGAGCTATATCGACGGGTTCAGATTAGAACAAAAGCATGCAGAATACTGGATAAGTAGGAGTTTAATCTTCTACAATATCCAAACGTAAGTTGTGCCCATTCAACTCTCACGATAGCCGTTTCTACGCACCGGAGATGACCCGGATTTTAACCGGACTTTGAGCGACCAAACCGCGTTTAGGTTAACAGGTAACATTAGTCGTAATTTCCGCCCTGCTATATGGTGAGAAGGCGTGGAAGGTGATCAACATCTCATGAGTCGGTGTTACGAATTTTGGAGCGAAAGGTTTTGCGATTTTGGAAGCCTTATGCAGCAGGCGAAGACGATAGCTCATGCCTTTTAAGCGACGGCGGTTACGCGGACTAGGTCATGTCCTCCATATCGGCGACAAATCTCCATTCTTGAAAGTTTCAGACTCACGAAGACCTCCAATCAGTGGGAAAGAAGTAGAGAAGCTCCAGACTTACGTCAATCAAGAATAATAAAGGAAAATTTATAATAGATTTTAACATAGAAAATTGGGTAAGAAAAATCTTTGCGGCCCTTGCACTTGCAAGATATCTCTCAGGAACAAATGGAGCTTAAAACCAAGAAATAGTCAAATGCAGTGTAAATTAAAAGAAATGAGCTGCAGCTGTTGATAAATATTTTACATAGTATATATATATATATTTCGCATATTACTTTAGTTCTGAATTTTGAAATTTCTAGCTCACCTTCATATAGATTTCGTCAAGGAGATAGGGAAGTACTTGCTGAATCATCAGATTGCAATGTTCTGTTTGATATTTCTTATCCTGCAGGCGTGAATCCATACGATAGATGAACTTTAAAGCCAGATAATTGGCTACTGCTTCCTTATGTTCATTACATATTTCATTTAGCCTATTGTAGAAGTAGTTACATGGCCAAGTACTCTCTTCCAAATCAAATTTTGTGCCATTCCACGCTATTTCTAAGTAATTATCCCATTGCTCGAAGTCATCTTCTTCCAATACCGTTGAGAGCATTTCACATTTTGCCATATCTTCGCTAAACGTTTGGGTTAAATTAAGTGTTGTCATCCAAAACTCAACAATATCGGCTACGACCTTCTCAATTTTCTGCTCATCTTCAACACCATACAAACGCAAATAATTTCGCATACGTTTCTGATTCAACTCTTGGGAGCTATTTGTATTGATATTGTCCGAGTGCACGATGTATTCGAAGCCCAAATCGGGTAATTTGAAATATGGTGGAAATGGATATTGTGGCATTATTTCCTCTTTGATCAAACCCATGGCTCCGTAATTCGTTAAATGAGCGCTCATATTGAACCAACTAAAGTTATCAGCTTTCCAGGTCGCATCGACGGCGGGGAAACCACCAATCGACTTTATAACCTCCAAGTACACTTCAGATTTACGCAACGGATATAGCTCAGCCGCTAGACAATCTTTATAAAGTCGCTTTGCCAAATTCAATTCTTCTGTAAACTCGAAACCCTCATTGGGCGGCGTTTCCTTTAACAACACCGTTTGTATGGCCTCTCCCAAGCTATAGAAAATATCGATTAGATTGCTACGCTTGTGCTGTGATTGATGCTCGGGAATCACATTCTTCCAATTACCGCAGGCATATTCATAGAAATCGTCGCAGGGCTCAACGGACTGATTCATGTATGTCAACATTTTTTTGGCATAGTCAGCGCGGTACTCACTTTCGATTTCGTTTAGCTTACTATCAGCCGCATCAATTACAGCCGCACTTGCTGCATCTTTGACATTGTTACTGATTTCATTGTTGTTTGCACTTTGTTGCTGTAAAAATCCTGTTTTTATCGAGTTGGCGGTTTTATCTGCGTCGGTTGTGTTGGTGGGCTTCGCAGCGCATAATGCAAACGCACTCAGGAGCAGGATGGGCAAAAAGAGCTGTGACATTAAATTCATTTTCACTTTCACACAGATTTCAATAGAGAGAGATACACTTATGCACTTGAATTTGATATTCTACATATATTTCACACACATACGTATATGTGTACATACATATATCTTCATTTGCTTATTATTATGTATTGTGTTTTAAAAATAACTATGGCCCTGCATTAATTTAATTTTGTTTGCGTTGCGTAGCTGTGCTGAGCAGTGGCTTATACTGGGCAGCTCCACCTCTACGAGGAGTCCGATTCGTACTGAATCAGAACAACTGTAAAGCAGATGGGATCTAAATAATTTACAACCTGCTTCCCTAAGCCTCGATTGACTCGATTGAGGTACCTACAATACATTCATATGTGTGTCAAGCTGAGCGTTGCTCGTTACTCTCAGACTTCATTTGGGCACACGAACACATACATACATACACCCAATTTTCTAATATACACTCATACTTATGTCTGGTCTGTTGAACAGATCTGCAGAGCAGTGGACCGACACACGACGTGATCTTGACCCGCAAATAAGCAGAGTTTATATTCAATGTGATAACAGTTATCACTTTGATACCGATGTTCGTTTTCATTCATACGAATATTTGCGACACAAACGATGAGGTAACAAATACATACAACACTTTGATGTAAAAGCTCATTCTTTATGCGCTTTAAGCGCCAAGCAGTATTTCTATGTAGAGCTCTCATGTAAGGCATGCTTTACTAACTCCAATAATTCCAATTGGAATTTCATGTTAAGAAACTCGTGTTTTGATAGAGAACAAAAACAAAACATCGACATTTATTTTTATTTTGCGTAAAAAATAACAATATGACTAGCAGTAAATTTATATTCTCATTTACATATACGAGGTGCGACAATTAAGTAATGAGACTGATTATATTGCCGCGAGTGCAGTAACACTGAAACCTTGAGATTCCCTTTTTCTTCTCTCGGCATCCTTCTCCTCTCCATTGATATATTTGCAATCGCTCTAGCATGTTAAGTTCGCCTGCTGTGTCATGTTGAGTAAACGCGTGCACGTGGTGTTCGTTACGAAAATGGAAAAACGATATCAAGAGCAACGCGTCGCGATAAAATTTTGCACCAAATCGGGCGAAACAGCTTCGGAAACGTACGCTAAAATTGTAAAAGTGCATGGGGACAGTGCTCTTAGTCGTGTCCAAACTCACAATGGTTGTTTCCGCACGCCCCCCGCCCGACAAAAGCTCACATGAGCAAGTCGAAAGTGATAACGATGACAATTATCGTTTTTGATAGCCGTGGAATCGTCCACTAAGAATTTATTCCACCGGGGCAAACCGTAAATCAAATATACTATCGCCAACCACTCGAAAGATTATGAAAACGGGTCAACATGGTGCGCCCAGACATCGCTCATAACTGGATCCATCAACACGACAACGCTCCGTGCCACACCGCTTCAGCATGCCCCAGTATTTGGCCTCTAAAGGAATCGTCGTGTTGCAACAATCGCCTTATTCGCCCGATATGACGCCTTGTGACTTTATTTTGTTTCCTAGAACAAAATCGGTGCTCAAAGGAACCCACTTTGAGTCGATTAATGACATTTAGGCGGCCGTGCAAGGGTACTCGCGAATATCCCAGTCGAAGCGCTCCAGAAATTTTACGAAGCATGGATAACGCGCTGGAATTGTTTTATAGCTGCCCAAAGGGACTACTTCTAAGGGGATGACAGAGTTGTAGAATAATTTTGAAATTTACGGTTTTCATGGAATCAGTCGCATTACTTAATTATCACACCTCGTGTCTGCGGTTAATCACCGCTTTTTATTAATGGCTCTCTCTTCTGCCATGATAACGTCTTCAAAAATTTTTTGAAGTAGAAAACTTTGTATTCTACTCGCATTTTTTATGCCCTGAACGTGGACAGGCATTTTTAATTTCACCTAATATATACATATACATACGTGATACAATATATAATTGGTGCTTTGTAACCGCTGAAGCGTTTTTGGTCCGAGCTCGCGTAAATATTTTTCCAACAAATGTAGGAACCTACTGTTTATACTAAGTTGCCTACTAACGGTTTTTATGAGGTACCTTATTTCATGCCAGGAATACACTCGGAGGAGTTGATATTCCTTTCCGAGGGGGTACTGCACTTAAAAAATTTAACTTATTTGTTTTGTTTAAAATATTGTTCTATAACTTTTGGATGTTGGTCGTAACAGGATTTACACCCGGTCTTTTTGAATGGCAGTATGCAATGCTAACCATTCGGCTACCATGGCCACCTAATATGGTGGATGAATTTCTGTTCATTTTATGTGTAAATTTTGATCCCCCTCAACCTGGACATGTTACTTTAGAACGATGGATCTTCGGATTGAAATTAGAGCTTTTACGGGTCGTTCGCAAATCGATAAAACTTTCTTCTCAGTTGACAGTTATTCACGAAAGTTACATAAATATCAGTTAATAATCGAACTTCAACATAAAACATCACTGCGACCTCATTTTAATTCTATTGTGAATTATGATATATATCAATGTGAACACAACTATTTCATAATCTCCGCTCAAAATATTAATGTAAAGACGATTCAGCAAGTAACTTTGCATTTCCACTCAGTTTGTCACCCTACATTTACGGAAGCTTCGATTGGTTGTAACGAATAACCGATAACATCAAAAGTAATTTCCTGAAGTCAATGCAACCCTGTATTGTTGATTTTTGGAATTGTGCGCTCAGCTGGTTTTGTGTACAAAATGTTATTTAAAAAAATTTTAAATAAGTCCGAGATTTTTGTGAATTAAAGGTTTGAATACATATCTGTCATAGATGTGAGGTTTTGCCAGTCGTAGGAACCAATATGATCTCCGCTAATCAAGTTTTTACAAAGGAATTCGGAGAATCAAGTGGTAGAGGAAGCATTAATCTTCAGTAATTAATTAGATTTTTCATTCATACAAATTATTTCTAGATAAAGACAACTTTATTCCGAATGTGTGTTCCTTGAGTATGTATCAAAGTTTTCTAAATTGATTCAGAACTTTTCTAAGTAGCTTATAGCGAAATACACTTGCAGGGGTGGACATTCTCTTGGATGTTGGTGGCACCGGGACATGAACCCGGGGCTTCCGAATGTCAGTGCGCTTTTACGAAAACATGATCTTTGAAATCTAGATTGATTTCAAAAAGTTAATGTACATTTAATCAATAAAGGGATTATTAATAATTGCTACATGCTTACTACGAAATTATGTTTTAATTTTTTTTTTGAAACTTCAAATCCAAAAACTCAAGTGGGTGCTAATCTAAAACTGTCAGATGAACAGAGGTTTGAATTTCATTCGACATCAAATCGCTTGAGCGGCAATACTTATGTATGTATGTTGCTTAAGGACCTATGAAACTTAAAGAAAAATATATACCCATCGCTGCAATAATGTCAAACACAGCTTCGTTACAACAAAAAAATTTAATCACGAATATGTGTTTGCATTTAAATTGTTTTTTGGTAACACAGCACATAAAAAGGAATACATAAAATAAATGTTATCTTTATTTGATATCTGTTCCATTGTCTACTATTTTCTGGTTCTACTTTTTCCAAAACTATTAGGACAGAAAATTGTACTAAATAGAGAAAATACATGTTCATTTTCTTTTCAAAATATCTTTATATATATTTCAATTTTTATGTTCACGTTGCACATTCAACTGATACGCTTTCTTCTATAGCTTGTCAAAAATTGGTTTGTAAGTATGTGCAAAATCATAACTATGTTTTACAATTTACATTATATTATTATATATGTATGTACATATGTATGTACCTATTTCTGTTAGGTTTACCTTTTTTATTCAAGTTGTAGCTACTGCTTTTTGACTGTTTTCTTAAGTTAAGCAGAAATAAAGCGAAACCCAATAGCATTTTCTATGTTTTTCACTCATTTAATATATTCATACATATGTTAGGTGGTAAGGTGTATAAATAATTTATAGTTGTATGTACATATTTATATACATTTAAGTTTGCACTAAAAATATCTTTAACTTATAGTATACATACGGATTTATTAGCTTATAAGATAATTAAATTAAATTCAATTGCGATAGTGACAAGAACAGAATTTTTTTAAATACATAATTTTATAGATTTCTTTTTCTTCTTCTTTTCTTGCAATGCTATTGTTTGTGTGATGTGTGCTTAACCATTTTATAGGTTAATTTCTGATTTTCTATAATGTGCAAAATAATTTTTTTGTTGCTATGTGTAAAAGAAAAAACTTAAAACAGTTTTATAGGAAGAGTTTGGCATTAATTTAAATAAATATTAATTTATTAATATTTTTATATGTACACATATTATTTTGTATAATTATTATTTTTTATCTTGTACATGTTTGTTTTTGTAATTTTTTACAAATTAAACTAAACAAATAACGAGGGTAAATTTATGTGGCCGTGTCATTGCAAAGAATTGCTGGGATATTTTTCTCCAACTTAATTTGAAACGTTTTGTTTTAATTAATACTATAAATTAAGCTAAAATTATTTAAATTGTTTCTTTGACTTAAAAATAGAGGATCGTGTACATATAACTTGAAATCAAAATACACTTTATTATATGTTACAGCGTTGAAAGTTCTGAGGGTATGTATGCTACGGCCTGGAAAGTAAACCCGGTGACTTAGAAAAGATTTTTGTACCTATAATTTTCACTCAGCAATTTATATAAAATATGGATATTTTAATTTATATTGTGAAATGATGTTAAATGAATAGTATATTTAAACAAATTTTAAAATTAAAAGTTTGTCTTCGTGAAAATAAGTATTTCCGTTTGGAAAATGCATATGGTTTTTATTATATAACATTGAATTTTGCTGCTGTTGTACTTTTTTTCCCACAATTTTAAATGATTTGGTGAAAAAGTAAAAAATTGGTACAATATTTCTTAGAGGAAATTTTCAAAGTTTTCATATTTTTTTAAGATTTGATTTAGAGTATATGCATTTCGGTATTGGCCCATTTATATGCACATACTTATGTGGGTGTGTATGCGTATTATTTATTGTATATATGCCGCATTTAATATTATAATTTCAATGTAGATACATATGGTATTTACTTGTAATCCTTGTACTCGCAGTATTTATGTAACAATAGTAGGCGTGGTGTCGTTTCGATCGTTTATTCGCTCGATCGGTGTTCTATTACACTTATTTAGTATATATAATATGTATGTATGTACATACATTTATGCACAACTGTGTATATACTTATGTTTATAATCGTTAGGTACATTCGCTAAACTGTACAGTTAAAAATTATTCACAGCATTATACAGAGTGCTTACATTGTTGTGGTTGTTGTTGTTAAATTTTTCATTTACCGTTTTGCAATTTTTTTTTTATTAAATTTTTAGTTTTGTTTGCTTTGCTTTTAATATACGCTAACAATATTAAAACGAATCCTTATTGTATTAAAATACATTAAACAAATATACTAGAGCTCTCAATCACTGGTGGACATTGCCATAACCACATTATTCTCCTCGTCCATTGTCACTGGCGATGGTATGCTTTGATTGCTGCTACTTGTCACTGCTGCTCCCGTCATTACCAGCTCTGTGTTCGACGTGCTTGGTACGGCACTCTCGTCGGCCACCTCGCGTATGGACATACACGATTGGGATTGGCGTATGGGTGCAAAGGTGGAACGTAGGTTGAGTCGCAGTTTGGCGGGTGAGTGGCGTTTCGGCATATTGGTCGGTGTACAGCAGATGAAGGGTAGTTGTTGTTGTTGCTGCGTTGACGGTGATGTCGGCGTCGATGCCGAGGATGAAGCATACGAAGAAGCGGACAATGATGACGATGATACAGAGGACGAGCAGGACGCCTCGACTGAAGTGCATGGCGAGAGCAGCGATGTCGGTGTACCTGTCGGTGGTGGCCATGTCAAACGCATTGCCTGACTGTTGCTGCTATTTTGAGTGGTCAACGTGCTGCAGCGTGTAGCGTCAAACGAATCATCTGTCGCCTCATCGTCAACCTCTGGACATAGCTTACGCTTGGCATCACTGGGTCGCTTACGTAGCAGAGTTGAATCCGTTTCATCCTCGTCCTCTACTGATGTGCTGTTGTTATTGCCGCTGATAAATTCGACATGATGACTAGATGTCGGTGTGGTAGGTGCAGTTGTTGCTGGTGAAGCCGGCTTCAAAACACCGCTCGTACGTAAATTTTGCTCCAACTCTAGTAGTTGACCCATGAAGTTGAGATTAGGTGAAATTATAGGTCGCGCTACTTTCACCAACTTGTAAGCCTCGAAGAGTGACAAAGATTTGTAACGCATGACATAGGCGATGGCAATGGTGGCGCTGCGCGAAATGCCTGCATGACAGTGCAGCAGTACACGGGAGCCGGTTTTGCGTGCATCCTCTATAAAAAAGAGTAATAGAAAGAAAAAAACGGAGTATTAAAAAGTGGAAATCGAATAGGTAATGAGTTGGCAATTTAATAAAGAAAATAAATCATTTTTGGTTTGCCAATCAATGGTTGGGTGGAGTCTTGAAGCAAAGGTGTGCGTGAATTTTTGCGCTTGAGTGTGTTCAAATTACAGTTACGCTTATCGAATAGTCCTATCAAAATCGTTATTTTTAAATCTATGCGCTCATCACGCTCAACACGCTTGCCAGTTTGTACGACCGGCGTTGAACTTAGCGTTTAACAAATGCGTATAAACAAATGCAATGTATGTATATGTACATACACATGTATTATCAGCAGTATTTCATCTAGATTGTGTCAACTAAATGTTGCTATATTTTCCATACATACATAAACATATTTATTTTTGTTAAATGCATACATTCACGCATGTAATGAGTAATATTATATAATAATGATGTCATAAAAAATATTTTATGAATTTTTCAAAATCTATTTTCAATTAAATTTTTTTTTTTTTAAATTATTTTATCTATTTTTCTTTTTATTTTATTAATTAATTTTAAAACTATTTTTGTAGTATTTGCACATAATTCTCTATGCGCCTTTCATTGGCATTTCAGTACGAAATAATCACCATTGAATCAATAGTTTCATTGAATTTCTTATCAAATGGTTATACTCGTACATGAAAATACAATAAGCAATAGAAATAAATTACAATTAGGAAGGGCATTGCACTGCATTGGCAATTGACTTTATGTGCAAAAAAAAATTTTTTTTTGTTCAGTTTTTTTTTTTTTTTGGTATTTTGGCGACTAGTGTTGACTCACTGCCAAGAAACCAACAAAAAAACATTCGAAGCTACAATATTGTCTCTTTACCTTGTAAAGGCTACTGATTAACTGATAAGTTATATCACTTATTGAAGTGCTGGATTTGTAATAATGATACCAGTGGAAAATTTTTAGTACCCCTTACTTGTAAAAAGAAAATAAAAAAAATTTCGCAAGCACTTTATAAATCATGTAAAAGTTATTAACAACAATTTCAATGTGTTTGCGGTCAAACAATATTTAGCGATTTTTGCTTACTGTTTTCATATTTATTTTATTATTTATTAGTTATTGTTTGTAGCTATCAAAGTTATCGCTATATCTCATTCGCATAGCTGATATGTATATTTACGTAAACTATGGCGTTAGGCGAGAAGGGAGTAGAGCAAATAATAATAATATTACACTACGATAAAGCGATGGTATTAATATTTGTGGTTTTTGTTGCTATACATATATATATATATATATATTGATGACTCATAGTAATGCCAGCTACTGTGCTACTGACTGACATACTGAATACTTTTCGCCAATTTGGCTGATTGATGGGTGGTGGGCGGTAATACGTAAATATGCTTATTGACGTCTTGACAATGGAAGTGAATCTAAGTGGATACATACATACATATGTAAATTCAAAATTTTGTTTTATTGATATTTTTTCCACTACACAAATAAAGATGTGGTGTATTTCAAGAAATAAAATAGATATTATGAACATATAATTGTTTATTAACTTTTATCTGAAGTATGTACATACATACATAGTGGAAGTGGAGGAGATATATATATGCTTATATTGATACGAATATGATCAAAATGAAGAGTCGAGTTGATTTAGCCTTGTTCGTCTGTTTGTTCGAATCAAGGCAGTATCGTAACGATAAATTTAACGTTAATCGAAAAATTTCTATCGTTTCGGTTGAATCATTTTGAAATGTTATCATTAGTGCAGAGTATAAAATAAATTTCATTTCATTTTTGCGCGAAACGAAGAGCTGGCGTTAACGTTAAATCGTTAACAGCTAATGTTAAACATTAACAGCTAATGTTAAATCGTTAACAGCAAATGTTAAACATTAACAGGTAATGTTATATCTTTAACAGACAATTTTAAATCAACAGCAGATAATTTTAAATCAATAACAGATAATGTTAAATTGTTAACAAAAAAATGTTAAACGCTTAAATTGAAGTGTGCTGTTAAAACCTTACAAACAGCCATTTTAAAATGATCATTAGCGATGAGGTTCTGCGTGTTCAACGTTAACGATTTTATGTCGTTTTTGTTTTCTTTAACAAAACGAAATGGCATCCTTTCGTTAGTTGAGCATCTTTGTCTTGAAGTATGTGCATAGTACATTAAATATATTGGTACAAGTAGGAGAATATATATATTAATGAAATTGTACCAATATGTACGTGTATGATAAAAATGTTAAGCCGAGTTGATTTAGCCTTGTCTGTTTGTTCGTCTATTTGTTTGAACGCAAGTAGAGAGTTTTTGTCATGTATGTTTTGTTCATTGACCCTCATACAAGCGATATTTCCAGTTATGGCATTTTGGATCTAAAATCCGGCAAAAAAGCGTCTCGCCGATCGCGAAATCGACTATCCATATAGGAAAATTAATTTTTAATTCTAAATGTAATTTAATGTAATTTAAACAATTTGATCTATGCCTGACGTAACAAAAATTTTAACAAAACTCGGAAAAAATTTTGTTTGGTTGGAAAAAAAAAAGTTGGAAGGGGTTGTTGATACAGGGAGGAAATTTTAAGGTTATATGTATTGTGTAATGCTGCATCATAAAAAACTGAAAAAAGTTGTGTCCAAAAAAATCAAAATTAAAAAAAAAAGATTTAGGGGTCCAAAAAATTAAAAAATAAAAAAAAAGTTTTGGGTGTGAAAAATAGATGTTATGCTATTCTTAGACCTACTGATTATGCACATATAATTTCATTAAAATCGGTCCAGCCGTTCCGGAGGAGAACCGTGTCTAACACTGTGACACGGGAATTTTATATGTATTGTATGCTTAAAATTTTTGGGTAATCTTATCTATAAAAGCTTTGGTATTGATTTATTAATTTAAATTTTATAAAATTTTCAAATTCGCTCTACTAATAAAAAAAAAACGCGTCAAACAAAAAAAACTTAAGAAACTCGAAACAAAGCGCAAGAATATTCATAAAAAAAGTTCACCACTTGTAGTTGTTTAAAATACACCCAAACAAACAATAATATATAAATACCAAACGAAAAAAACTCTGACGTCAGCATACTTTTATTGTTAAAAAAAGCAAAGTAAAAAGTGATAACAAATACCGAAATAGGAGGTAAATGAATAAATCAACACATAAAACTCGAAAACTCATTCTCATCGTTATGAGAAAGAACACACGCAAATCTTATCAAATTTAATACATTTTCATATTTTTTTTAAATTGCTTATTTGCAACTTTCTTATCAAGTGGCCGACTTTTTTTCTCGAAAATTTCAGTTTATTTTGAATAAACTTATGGAAATATCTTATCAAATCGCGTTACTTTTCTTCACACCGAACGTATTCCAAAGCTAATTCAATTAAATGTCTTTTTGTTGCTATAGTAATTTATCGAAAAATACTATAAGCAATGAAAATAAAAATCATCTGATAAAAATATTTTACTTGAATGATGCTCAAAACTTTATCGTAAATGAATTGGTAGTAGTAAAAATAAAAAAAATGTAAATAATTAAAATGGAGCACTTGTGTGTATATATTATACATATATATATATATATATATTATACATATATATATATATATATATATTATACATATATATATATATATATATATATATATATATATATTACTGATAATGCTAAAACATATTGAAAGTGGAATTAAACATACAACATATACATATATACATACATATTTATGTATGTAAATGTTCTATATTTTTATTAAGTATTCAATATAGACAATTGAAACTTCCAGTTGACACAGGTGCTTCCCGCAATTTTAGAAGTCATTTTTTTTTTTGTTTTTGTATGTATTTACACAAATTGCCTTAATTTCTAACATGTAAGGCATACGCATATGTATGCCAATGTATGCTTTTATCTTTGTTTTTTTTTTCGAATATGCTTACATACATACAAATATTAATCGACTAGAATAAATGACTAAATACATAGGCTGATCTAATATTCTGTTCTTGCTGAACTCATAGTTGTTTATAAAATGATTATGTGTTGAAAAAAAAACAGCTACTGATAGGAAATACTCATTGAATTAAAAGGAACTTGATTATTAAGTTAAATTTGTATACATTTACACAATAACTTCATAAGAAATAATAGTGCTGCAACGATAGAGCCAAAGTCATTAGGAAATGATACAGAGGTCGCGTTTAAAGTACGGCGCCAAAATTTATAAACTGTTGAATGTGATAATGTTATACATTTAAAAAAAAAGAGAGTAAACAATTTAATTAATAATAGTTAAGTAGAAAATTTTTTGCTAAAAGTTGCTGGAATTGTTATGAGCAAGTAATGCGGAAGTGTATTTGCTGGCTTTTCACTGGAGCTCCATTTCATGGGTAAAATTTAATTATTTAATTAAATAAATATATTTAAATCCAACATATACATATAAATTTTATTTCATTTCATATTATTTTATTATAGTTTTTTTTTGATTTCAATTTTAATTTGTTTACTTTGATTTAATTTATTTAATTTAATTTATTTTCATTCGTTGTTTATTAATAACTCTATTCTTCTTTAAATTTTTTTCAGTTCATTTTATTTTAATTTATTTTGCTTAATTTTTTTTTAATTCATTTCATTTCATTTAAATAAATATAATTTTTTATTTTATTTTATTTTATTTTATTTTATTTTATTTTATTTTATTTTATTTTATTTTATTTTATTTTATTTTATTTTATTTTATTTATCTTATTTTATTTTAGTTTATATTATTTTATTTTAGTTTATTTTTTTTTATTTTATTTAACTTTATTTTTTTACTTAATTTATTTTAGTTTAATTCATTTAATTTAATTTAATTCATTTAATTTAATTAAATCTAATTTAATTTCATTTTATATAAGTTTATTTTACAATATTTTATTTCATTATGTTTTACTTTATTTCCTTTAATTTTATTTTATTGTATTTTATTTTATTTATTTTTGTTCAATTCATTTAATTTAGTGTAATAATATTTTTCACGTTTATTTCATTTTATTTAATTTACTTCACATTATTTTACTTTATTTAATTTAATATAATTTAGTTTAATTTAATTTCATATTTAAATTTATTTTGTTTTTTTTCTATCTTATTTTATTTTATTTCCATTTATTCAATAATTTTGTTTTTTCATACAAATTTTATTTTATTTTTTCATTTTATTTAATTTTAATTAATAATATTTTTACTTCATATGAATTTGAATTGTTTTCATCTTTATTCATTTTTTTTGTTTCATTTCATTTTATTTGCTTTTATTGTATTTAATATAAAATTTTTTATCCTCTAAAAACTCTTATATTTTTTTAGTTTGCTTCGTTTCATTTTTTGATTTTCTTTTATTTAATTTATTAATATTATTATTTTTGTTGCATGCATATTTGTTTTTATTATTATGTTTTGCCTCTTTGTATTTACATTTTTATTTTCGTTTTATTTTCTGGAATTTTTTTATTTTGTTTAGTTGATTGTGTTTTAGTTTTAATAATTTCAATTTTATTCATTTCGTGCTTCTAGATTTTACCTTTTAATTTTGACATTTTGTGAAAAAATATTTGAATTTTTTAAAAAGTGTTTGGGGAGTGTACTTAAAGTGCTGAAGGGGTGTGCCATTAAAAACATTAACTCACAGACAAACAATGACTAAATACGAGTACATTAAGCATACAATACGTGTATGTTTGAGTACACTTACAAACATATGCTTAAAGAAAATAGCAAAATCAAGCCGAGGGCCACGTCTGATTGTATTTCCAACAACCTAACTGTCCAACTTCCTTACTACGTTAAGTATCTGCCGCAGTGTCTGCTTGGCGGAGTCTATTCAAATAGCAATATGGAAGCAATAACATTGCTGACTCATAGTTAATGGTTTGCATTGGAGCATTGAAGTCGTGTGTAAATAGCATTAAAAGTAATTATACATACATACACGTATGTATGTACCCAAAAGAGCCAATTGTTTGTTGAAATCTATGCGTTCGTAGATGTTGCTGTTGTTGTTTGACTCAATTTTGGTTTCATATTTTATATTTGTTTTAGTTATTTATTTTATGTAGTGTGGGCTCTAAGACAAAACATTATCATATTTTATTTATTATGACTCTTGCAAACAGGAAAAACTTTTGCTGCAGACTTGCATAAATTATTATCCTTTTTTTTTGCCAAAGGAAATCATATTTATTGCATTTATTTTGGAATAAAATCTCAAAGTATGAAATTTAAACAGCGTTGAATATACTAATTACCACTGTAAGTTTGCCGGTTTAGTCTTTTAATTTATTTTTTTTAGTTTTATTATGTCAGCGCTTGAAAATGCCGGTGAGTCGGCGCACAAACTAATTCGCATTAATTGGCATTGTGACGTGGAAAAATTCGCTTTCACACGCTTACCGCGCAAAGCATTTTTTTTTTTGCGTGTGAACTAATTGTTTTTGTATGGCGAAAATAAACGTTTCCGATTAAAAACAAATAAAAACAGTGAATAGTGGGTAAAAAAAAACAATAGGTAATAGAATAATTACGAATCGATGATTAAGCGCCGCCAAGCGCATGAATGAATGAATGAATGGTTGCTGTAAAAGGAAATGTTCGCAGTGCGCATGCGTGACAGCTGACTACGCTGGGTTGCTCATATTCATACATACATACTTACATACGCATATGGATATGAGTAAACAATGTGCGGCGGCACTAAGACGCATCGGAAGTAAATATTGCTTAAATAATTTACATTTGCATATATTCATATATGTACATATATAGCACATATACACTTATTAATGGTGATGAATAGTAGTGAACGCTTTATCACCTATTAGTAGGTGGCGGTGGCAGTGGTGTTATGGTCATTCTAATGGAATTTTTGTTATGCACAATGACATATCATTACTTTCTTCTGTCACATTCAATTTTATAAGTCTTCGTGTTCTAGTCGTAATTGCGCGTGAGTAATGCGTGAGTAAGTTAATATGTACATATGTACCTCTGAATATCGCACTCATCACGACGATGACCTTAATGGACGCGACACATTAGTTTTGTATGACACAAAGTTTGCCTATTGCAGCTGTTACAACAACGTCATCGATGATGTGCTGCAGTGGCATCATCACTCACGACAAGTGTGGCAGACTTTGCGTTACAATTTCGATTTCGTGAATTCTTTACTTTTTTTCGTCTCTTAAAGCCTCGTCTCATTCCTTTGTTTTTTATTCTGCTTGTTTATTTTTAATTGAACGTGATGATTAAGAATATTTTGGGGATGACTCTTAAGTGGCTAAATTTCACTTACTTACAGCTGCAACATATCAAAGTCACAAAAATATACAGACACATACATACATTATGTGATTATCAATGTGAGTAAACTGATGAGCTGTCTGTGCTTGTAAGATTTACAACATGTCTACATATATACATATATATTGTATGTACATATGTACATTAGTATACAAAAATACATACATTCATATATCGCTTTGTTCTTAAAGCTGACTGGCGATGATAGGCGATCGCGAGCAATAGCAGGTCGCCGCTACTTTGACCGACTGACGCATAAAGGCAACAAAAACAGCAACAGCTGCCAGGCTAAGTTAGTGAGGATGTGCGTGGAGTCTCATGATATAGCCAGAAATGACGCAGCCACGCATATTTCGTTTGTTCTGTTCCACTGTTTGTCTGTCTGCCTGTGTGCATAAAGTCAGTCGATGTCCTTCAGCTTTGTAAAGATACCGGCGCTTACACGTCATTGTGTAAATATACGGAAAAATAAAACGAAAAATTTATTTCTCGTGAATTTAAAAGTAAATCTTTTTCATTCTCGCTTTACATTCAATTTAAAATTTTACTTGCTGCTGACTCATAGATTTGTTTATTCTTAATTTGCTGCTATGTTTTTGTTTACACGCAAACGAATTAACAAAAAATGAGCATTTAGCTTTTGTATTTTTATCTCAAAAACAACGTATACTTTTTCGTAATCCTTCAACAAAAAAAAAAAAGTAAATTAATAAAAATTTAAATAAATAAAAAATAATAATAAATGTTTAATAATAAAAAATGTAAATAAAATATTATTATTATTTATTTATTTTTTCTATTTCCGTTTTGTTAATTTTTTATAATTTTTTATTATCTTTTTCGTTCTTGCTATGCTGCTTAAGTGGTTTTTCGGCAACAACCATATTCCACACTAACACTCAGTCTCTCGGCTGTCTCACATTGCGAAAAAGGTGAGAAAACGTCAAAATCTGAAGCTGCAGAAACAGTAAAAGTTAGCAGAGTGGAGATGGCAATAAAATACTCGTATGGTAATAAGAATAACAATGATGCAATGAGCAATGACGAAGAGCAGGTGGCAGCCAAAGTGCTTGAATGGACGTTAAAATTATGGCTCACACCAGTTAAATTTATAACAAGTGGAAACGGAGCGGAGCATGGCAAAAACAACCGCAGTAAAGAGCATTGTTATACGAGTATGTTTTAAATTGATGATGACGAATACGCACAGTGGTGTAGGACTTGAACGCGATTTATTATACGTAATAGTAAATAATTTTTTAGGATAGTTGTTCGGAAAATAAATTGTAAGTACGTAAACTTTATAAAATAAAATAAAATAAATGAGAATATATTAAAATAAAATAAAAAATTAAATAAAATAAAATAAGATAAAAAAACAAAAAGTAAATAAATTGAAATGAAATGAAATAAAATTAAATAAAATAAATTGAAATAAAATAAAAAACAAACAAAAAAATTAAATAAAATAAAAGGAAGTGAAATAAAATGAAGTAAAAAATTAAAGTAAGAAAATGCAATAAAATAAAAAGTTGTAATAATATAGTTAAATAAAATTATTAAAATAGTTAAATAAAAAAACATAAAGTAAAATCCAATAAAATAAAACAAAACTAAATTAAATGAAATAAATTTAAAAAATGAAAAAAATGAAATAAAATTTAAAAAACTTAAAAAGAAATAAAATATATCAAAATAAAATGAAATAAAACAATTAAAAAAGATAGTTCCAATTAAAATAAACTAAAGTTACTTAAAATAAGAGAAAATAAAGTAAAATAAAATATTAACATAAAAAATGCAATAAATGAAAAATATATAAAAAATAAAATAAATGAAACAAAAAATTAAAAAAAAAATAAATAAAATAAAATAAAGTGAAGTAAAGTAAAATAAAATAAAATATTGTAAAATAAAATAAAGTGGAAAAATTAAAATTTAATAAAATAAAATAAAGTAAAGTAAAATAAAATAAAATAAAATTAAATTACATTAAAAAGAATAAAATAAAGTAAAATTAAGTTAAATAAAGAAAATAAATATTTTTAGTAGCATAATTTTAGGCAAATAACCACTTGAACATGCCGCATCATGTATGTACCCTTCTTAATTTTATTCATTAGATTATATTATTTGTACCATGACGTATTGAAATTGAACAAGGTTAAGATATGTGAGTTTATTAAAACTTAAAACTTATTATCATAGAGTTCAATATCATTATGATTGAAATGGCATATTTGTGTGATAAGTGGCAAAAAACAAATCAATATTATAAAGACAAAAACCGCAATAACTTAAATTAAAAGGAACAACATAAAATGAAGGAAACATTAAATTCAAACAATATGTGCAAATGATTCACGCAAAATTCTTTTAAGACCGCCGACTCTGAAAAAGTTCAAGTGCGCTTCGCTTCAAGCGAATTGTAAGTTTCAGCTTCACTTAAGTGAATTGAACTTAAAATCGAGTAATGAAAAATGAAAAAAAAAAACACTAAAGAGCAAAATTTGTTGAGCGACATGCTGCGCATGCTCAGCCTCCACTTGGCGCTTACCAATCAAGCTACAGTGCTGCAGTGAGGTTGAAAACGCCTGTCAACGACAATAGCGTGCAACGCTGTCGTTTCAAATATAATGATGGATTTTCGAACACTGACACTTTTGAGCAAAAGCATACGAAAAATTTCCTTTGAAACTATGCATGTATTTATTTGTACATTGACAGCATGGACGGCGTCAGCTGACCTTCAACTCGTGCAGTCAAGCAGCTGATTGAATCATTTGCGTTGAAATAAAGTCATATTGAATGATATGCGTGCAAAACCAAATAATTAAAATTAGAAAAAAATACAATTATTGTATGACTTTGTGTGTTTTTGTTGACTTTAGCGACTCATCGCTGCTGCGGCTGTGCATTCAAGCGCGTTAATTATACAAACAATAAAATTAAATTTCAATAAAAATCTTAAAGTGTAGTTAATTAAGTTTAAATTTGGCTTTTCGCTGTAAGAGATGATAAATGCTGACAATAAGTCTTTTTTTTTTATAAATAATAAGATAAATAAATAAAATTTTCAGTAACGCAAAATAAATTCAACCTTCACTTTCATGAACGGCGGGCGGCTTTGCTGTTGGTTGATGATTCACTGGCAATAAAAAACACGGGAGCGCGCACGCCTTTAGAGGGAGCGCCTGCGCGCATGCTACCGAATCAGGCACATACATAGACATACACTATATGTATGTTTGCATATATGCCACATGCATATAATATATGTATATGTACATAAGTACAAAATAAATGTTTATTTGACTTTGCTGAATGACTGACTAACTGCCGGTGACAGCTTGAACGTTTGTGGTACGCTTGAATGGCTGGATGGATTCCCGTGATTTGTCAACAACAGTAACAACAACAGCGCGCCGTGATCTCATGCAAATGTAAACAAAAACTGTGAATTATACGAATTCGCTATAAAATTTAATGAATCTCGTGTGTGCTCACCTCCCTCAACTTTCCGGTAGCTGTGCACATACATATACATACATATGCACATATATGCATGTATGCCCAAGTTTATTTTAATTTTTCTCTTTACCGCGAATCGCTGGGTGATATCAACGCCATTTATTTATGTGAAGAAAACTTATCAACCTAAAGCTGCTGCTGATGGATTGGAATTTTTACAAGCTTACGTGTTTAAATATATTTATTACTTATAAGATATTGTTTCCATCTTAAATTGTTAACCCATGAGTTATTTGTCTGTTTATATGTATGTATGTGGAACAAGTAAGTCATCAACGCGTTCAATGAGACACTCTGACCAAAGGCCACAGAATTGTACATATATATTTCTTTATTTGCGAAAAAATATATATTTATGTATCTTGTGAGTTCCTTTGATCATATGTAACGCGAATATCGCACATTCCATTATGTTATTTCAGTTTTCTGGGTTTTCGACACCCACCCAAACTCTGTATTTTTAGCACAGTGACAAATGGATGGAATGACAAATATAATATTAACGCACATAAATACATCTGTGCATAAGTCCTCAAAATTCCATTGATGGCTTTATGGTGGGTGAAAAAATACTTTCAAAAAATTAATATGATCTAAGGAAGGATAGTTTTTGAAAGCAAACTGTGGCATTTGGTAACGAGACAAAATCTTAACATTAATAATATTGACATGCATACATTACATTTAACTAAAATTAATATAAGTTGTTTGCGTATTTGTTGTTTATCTAATCAACACTCATGTGGCAATTAACGCCACTATGCTATTAGACTATATTTATATTTGAACGAAGATGCATATATTTTTTCAAAAAGTAATTGCGTCTTCTTTTATAATACACTAAAAAAATAAAGTAAAATAAAATAAAATATAACAAAATAAAATAAAATAAAATAAAATAAAATAAAATATAATAAAATAAAATAAAATAAAATAAAATAAAATAAAATAAAGTAAAACTTCATTATATGTATCTTCTTATTATCAGCAAACAAGAAGCGTTGCTCTTAGAAAGGTATTTTCAGAAAATTCGTCTCATAACAGGAATTCTGTGCGCACAGTTTTCCAAATTAAATTTGTAATTATTAATTTTATTAAAAATGATATAATTGTAATATTGAAAAAAAAGATCAAATAATAATAATTTAAATTCTGTGGTCACTTCAAGTTATCAATAATAAAATGGAAGAAATCTTGAAATCAATGAACGATTTCCTTTAATATTATAAATGTGAAACTCTAGTAGCTGTTGGAATTAACACAGAATACTTTTTTATTTTCAACGCCATTTAGGTTTCCAGTTATGAGATTATATCTCATCCAATCGGTTCTTGCTATTGACAAGTAGAACAAAAAAGCGGTTTGAAAGCAGCTGAAACTCCACGACAGGTACGAGTTCAGAAAGATGAGCTATGTAGAAGAACGATACCAATAAACACAGAATAATTGCAGACGAAATCACGCACCGTTGAAATTTTGCATAAGGATTAATCTGTATTTAATGACACTAGATTTCAATATGCTCCTTCCATTGAATATCATAGTCATTATTTAATTGTTGTTGGCTCAATGAATGAAAAACGTCGGTATTGCGATGCTTTCAAATGGACCGATGAAACAGTTGGAATGTGCTGTTCCAGTGGTGAAGTTCCACTTCCATTGCTTGGAAACCTTTAAAAAACACCTCTTGGAGTTAATAAAGTGATAAGGTAGCGGTGATCTTCACCAACTTTTACAGTACAAGGGCAGATATATCATCAAATTGGATCGCTGTATCCAGAAGATAATGATCAACATACATTTTTGTACGTGTTTTCATGGGTGAGCAACAAAATGAGGTAAAAACTGATACTTATTAAAGGTATTCAATGAGAGCGAAACTAATGAGCGTCAATTACATTTTAGGTCAAGTTCTATTGTAGATAAAATGACAAGCGGTTTAATAATAATTGAAAACGGGTCATCCAATCGGGCTATGCACTACATATTGAAAACTTTCTGTTTATTTTTCTTTCTAATAATTTTTTTAATATCTTTTTTTTATATTTTTCATCTAACAAAACAACTGCCTAAAGTGGAAGTGACGGAAACAGGTGGGCAGTATTATGACAATAATGGAATATTTGTACTAATATACATATGTACACGTATGTATGTATATAGGAAATGCTTTTAAAACTAAGTAAGAAAAAATTAAAATTAGGAAAACAAAAATTAGCATTTCTTAGTAAAAACAGTCTGTGAATGAATGGGGCACCACAAAAAAGTGAAGTAAGTGCGTAATGACACATTTGGTTTGGTGTGACTTCCACAAATACATACCTACACATATGCATACATACATATAAGACAACTGAATGAATAGTAAGAATAAATCTGTTTTCACACCATATCCAAGCGATAGCCATAAGTAAAACATGAATGGACAAAAAATATGGGGAAAGAAACAAAAAAAAAAAGTAATATGTTGTAAATGAGTTGGCAGAGCAATATGAAATATGAAAAAGAAATTATTATAATAGCATTAAATGCAAAACAAAGTACAAAATAGGTACATACTACGTACATACGTACATATTCATATGTGTAATATTACATTTGGCTGTGCTGAAGTAGAAATGGTCTTTAAATTGCTTATTTGCATTTAGTTTTGGATGAGCAAAAAATAAAAAGAAGAACATTAAGAAAATAATATAAAATAAGCAAATATATTGCTGCCATACGGGATGAATTTAAATTGATATTACTTTATTTATTATACATT